ACTTCAAGTAGTCTCAATTCACCCACTCACCCACAAGGGAAAGAAACTTAACAACAATGCTACGACATTACATTCTAGGACATAAAAAGCATACGTCTTAAAGACTCTCGGCATAAAAAATGAAATTACAGGGCGAAAGAAAGAACAATACCTTATAAGTTTTACAGGGGCAAAGTGAATAAAGAAGACAACAAGAGATGTTAACGATTTACTTCATTTAAGTTTTCAATCAATAATTAAGTACGATACCGATGCGGCACGTACAATAATTCGACACACAAAGCAACAAATACAATCCTCACAGTGACTCAATCAACAAGTAGCTCAGTTAGAGATAAAACTAATCTAAGTACAACCCAAAATATCAAAGTAAATATAGATCACGCAGAGGGATCAAATCTAAATTCTTAAAGACAATGAAAACACAAGACATAAATGAGGAAACGTACATCAGAGGCATTGCTAATGAGCTCACGAAGGAAAATCTCCTTGTTGCTGTAGAAGGTGTTAATGATAAGACTGAGAAGCTGGTTGATCTCAGCCTGGAAAGCGAACGTCTCAGTCTCCGCCATTAGCGATCTGTCTAGGAGGAAGAAGAAGAAGAACGAGGGTTTCGGTGGGAGATCAAAGTAGCAGAGCGTATGAGAGAGAAATGAAACTGAGCCGCGGAGTAAAACGAGAAGAAGCGTTATATAGGAGAAACTTGCTAGGGTTTAGATATTCTAGATCCTTCGACGCGAAATATAAAACAGGCAAGCTAAGTATTAAGAGGTTCGGGGCCCACATTGCCCTCTTCGGTCCCATCGACGGCTTCGCGAACATTCGATTGAAGGCGTAATGTTTATTTTCGACCGTTGGATTGTGATTCCCTCATTTCTCGGACTTTTCCTCTCAACATCGTCGAACGCGTTGTTGAACAGTATTTTCTTTTCTATCTCCTCTTCCCAGTATTTTCTTACTAATTTCGCAGGAGGAGTTCTCGTAGGAGTTAAACATATTTAATTCTTTTTTTTTTGTCAGCAAAATTTTAATCCCCTTCCCGGTTTATGCTTATTATTTTTTAAAAATCATTTACAAGAAATTATAGTTAGTATAATTTTTATTTTTTAAGTTTACTTTATTTAATTTTGGTTTCCCAAATTTTAAATCGTAAAGGAAACCAAAATTTTTTTATCTAATTTACTACCCGAGGGATCAAAACTTATTATTTGAAACTTGAGAGACCAAAACTAAAATAAAAGAACACTCGAGGTACCAATGATTATACTAAATCCTAAAAAAAGTAAAAAAAATTATGTTATATTTATTATAATTAAATGATTTATTTATTTTTTAAATTTATCCAAATTAATTAATCAATTAGTTTTACCCTCTATTTGGATGGGGAAAAAAGTTGAGAGGAAAGAAAATGAGAGGAGAAAAAATGGAGAGAAGAGAAAATTAAAAAGAAAATATTATCACCTTTTATGTTTGGATGAACAAGAGAAAACAAAAAGAAAAGAAAATGAGTAAATATATGAATAATTAAAATACTATTTCTATTATATCAAAATATATCTTGATTAAAATCAAATTAAATATCATAATGAAAAACCATATTTACACTAACATAATCATATAATTTAAAATCAAATTATTTGATAAAGATATATTATTATATTATTATATTTTAATATCAAATAATTTTGTAAAAAAAAAAAAAATAACATTTTGTGCAATGTAATGCTAGAAAAACCAAAACAACAATTATACTTATTTTTCCTTTCAGATCATTTTAGAAGGATTTTTGCAATTTTAGTTATTTTATTTTTTGATCAAGCAAACACAGAAAAAAGACTTGATAATAATAAATAAAGTGAAAAAATGAAAACATAGAATTATTTTGCTGAAAAAACATATATAAGAGTAGAGAGGAAAAATATGTTTTCTTTTCATTTTCTCTCCATATATGGAAAGAAAAATTGAGAAGAAAATAAAATGTGGGACCCATCTCATTTTTTTCAAACTTTTCTTTCCTCTCACTTTTCTTTCTTCATCCAAATAAGGGAAAAATCACTTCTCCTCCTATTTCCTTCCTAATTTTCCTTCCTCTGTCATTTTCTCTTCATCCAAACATAGCATTAATATTATTCCTCAAGTCCTTAACATAAGACATATTTAACTAATTTGATTAGATTAAAAAATTAGGTAAATTAGTAATTATGAAAAATATGATATGTTTTTTTTAAAACACCATAATAATCTTTCTTTGTATCCTTCCTCCCTCACTTACTTGATTCTGGTTAAGAAAATATCCAGAAGGATAATTTTAAAAAGAATTAATAAATATACAAAATAATTCTTATATTTACGACCAAAATTAATACAATAATTAGATCCTATATTAAGGATCAGGAGAAGTAGGTATGGAAGCAACAATAATTAAAGAATTGGATCAAACTAGACAGTCCAAAGTTAAACTTTCGTTCGAATTTGTCAAGGCATATACTACATAATCTCCTTGAATATTTATATATCATTAAATTATATATCAATTTATAACTAGACAAATTAGTTTTAAAAAAGGATAAATATAAATATTTTAAACTAACTTATTGAGGTTTTGTAATTTCTAAAATTAATCAATTAAGGGAGTGTTTGGGTTGAAACAAAGTCATTATTTTAAAAGTATTTTTACTATCTAAGAAGTAAATATGTTGAGAAGCTTATTTTGATTTACCAAAAAATACTTTAAGTTACCCAAACACTCTCTAGATGAATTGACAACTAGGGTCTAAACCAATTTAGATTGAGTAGAGCGGCAGCCCTTTCATGCGGCAAAATCTTTCACTTAGGTTGTTGCATTTTCAGGTTCAATATCAAGATCTATAATCAAGCTGTTACAATTCTCTTACTAGTTTTGCCAAACATGCAGTAACATGCTATCACCTCTAATCATAATTATAAGACCTGATTGACTAATTTGATGAGATTAAGGAAAGAAATTAAGTTAGTTATTTGTAATAAATAGATATTGTCTTTCCTAAAATATCCTTACTAATCAATTATATTGACTAGAACTATAATTATTAGAAGGACTATCTTGAAAAAAAATACATAAATATGATAGACAAAATGGATTGGGGTCTTAATTTAGGACCAAAATAAAAATCAAATAAGGTCTTATATTAAAAACCGGAGGTAATATAATATATCTTCCCATCAACTTATCAAGATATGCCAAACATTTTTCTTTCGCGTGTTAATTGTTATTTATTGAGACAATGAAATCATCTATTTATGGCCAAAAAGATGACCAGAAAAACTAAAAGCAGCGTTTGTATATGCAATTCAATCACTTCCTTTTTATTACAAATATGAAAAGCCTTCAATTTATTATTCCATCCATTGCTTTTTATAAGAGATAATTTTAGAATATGATTTTTTTTATAAAAGACATTTAGAAGTTATCTTAAATTTTATTTGTCGATTTTTCATTTTGCATACATTTAATTATTCATATTACTTGTCATTGTATTTAATTTCTATATATTCTCTCTCTACCACATATTCTCTCCTCCACATAAATGAGAGTATTTTTAGCCTAAAAAGTTATATTTTTTTTATATATTTATTGTCTTTAATTTTAAACAATATTTTGAGCAACATAATATGATTAATTCTTTCTTATAAAAAATAATGGAATGAGTAATAATATAAAGTAATTACTCTCTGCTCATATGTAAAACATTTTTTCAAAGCTACCAATAAAATTTAGTATAGTAAGCTAAGTGACTAACCCTTGACAATGTGATAAACCAAGTTTGAATTTTTGTTTGAAAAGATGCCTATATCTAATGTGTGACTGTGCTTCATATAGAATTGATTATAATGGGAAGATTACTGCATCCAAATTCTTTTCTCCTAAAAGAAGCTTTTAAAAGCTTGGTTTAAATAGCAAACATTATAATGTATGATGAGTATTATTTATTTGAAACAAAATCAAGAACCTCAATTATTTTTAACCAACTTAATCCATACAAAACTCGATAATGGTAAATGCTAGAGAAAAAAGGTTCTCAAATCTTAATGTTAGGGTAAAAAAGTCCAAGCATTAATGGTTTACACACACTAAAATGCTCCAAGTATTGATGTTTTTGTTAATTCGTAAGAGATTCATGATTCTAACAAGTAAAATTAGTCAACATAGACTATAATAAATGCAACAAGATTAAGAGTTGTTTCAGAGAATCTCTAAACAGGGGAACATTGCGTTTTATTCTTTGCTAAAAATCATGAAATTATCTTTGATTGGAAAATCATCAAGTTATCTATTCTTACTTCTCCCTCCTCTTATTTTCAAAGGGGAATGTTGGAAATATTTGTTTAATACTATTTATATGAAAAAATTCTTTGTTTAAAGCATCTATTAAATTTTTTTACGCCATTATTAAAAAAGAGAATGGTAATATATAAAAAACAGAAAACATTAATAACAGTTGCTCCTAGTTTTTAATGCAAGATGAGTTAGAAGAATAGACTAAATAAGGACATTTTTTAGAATAAATTCATACCTATAACATGTTTATAAATTTCAACTAATTTTAACTATATTTTCTAAGTTTAATAAATTAGTTCTTTGCTTTTTTTAAATAAACAGGAGTATGAGGAGGATTCAATTATTTATTTTGTATTATTTTAGTAGTCCTTCCAAAAATAAATTCTCTTGGCTTCAGTGAATAAATTATGTTATACAAAATTTAAATTTTATAAAAACATGTTAAAATTTTTGAAGTCCGGGGAGATAAATTACAGAACCCTTGAATCCAAGCTATTCTTTGAATTTTAACTAAATTTTTGGGGAAATGGTTGTAATTTGGCTAAATTTCAATTCTCCCTACCTACAGCATATTATCATTTGCAATTGCAGATTCGCACGCCTGTTCACTGAGTTAATCTGAAGCCTTTACTATCGATAGACTTGAAAGAGCAGTCACAGACTCGCAAAACACATGCTCATCATTATTTCTTTAAATCAAACAAAACGAAGTTGCATTCTTGATTTACTATTATATTGTTCTTGATCTGCTATTCTGAATCGAGGTTTGGGTGCCGACAAAGCAAGAATTGAAAGATGCAGAAAATGGCGCAGGGATGGTTCTCGCAAGCAACTGACGGCGATAATGGCCAGAAACCGTCGTCTTCTTTGCTGGCCGATTGGAATTCGTACGCAGCATCCCAATCTACGGAGGAGAACTCTGATTCCGCTTTTGGTTTTGACATCGAATCTGCCGTTAGGTCTGCCAACGACACAGTGACGGGTACCTTCAGCGTGTAAGCTATCCTCGCTACTCCTTATACGTATCTCTTTAGTTTCGGTTCGGTCTGGTTATGATTTCGTGGTGGTTCTTATGCCTTCTGGAGTTGGCCGCTTGATGGGTTCTTGAATTTCACTGATCTGGCCTTTGGATAAAATGCGTAGTTGGCAGATTTTTTTTTTTGTTTGCCCGTATGATCTGGTTATTTGTAAGTGGTACAGGCCATAAAGAATTCATAGAATCATAGTGGTCAGTGATAATTTATGCAATTGATCGGATTTGAAATAATTATTAGAGCTTGTTTAGTTTTGCTTATCCTTACGATGGATGTTCTTAGTACACACTCACATTTGCTGAGAACAACAATTTTTCCTTGACTCTATTGGTTCTATTGATTGGTAGTACAATGGGGGTATTAGAAAAAGGAGAACGACATCTAAAGTTTTTGTGATAGAAAGATATCCATTAAGATACAAGTTAAATTTTGATGTATGTGTTGTAAGTAGTGGCAGAGGCTGAATTGGCCTCAGTTTTTCAAACTCTTATACTACCTCTTGGTACAGTGAATTGAGCTCTAGGACCTTTATTTGAATCTTGCTTGCTCAAGTCCCCAGCCACTTGAGCTGACCTTTGATGACCAATCTTTACACTCTGTTATCAAGATACTTTATTTTTGCTGTGAAAATAGTCCATGTGTCTTTTGATCCTTCATCATTCCCTTTGTTCTGTTCTACATTTATTGGCCTAGGAGTAGCTTGGTCTCACTGGTTGGATCAGTTAGACCTGCTTAATCTCCTTAGTTATTATGTAGTAAAATCAATATGAAAGCTACATGGCAGTCTTATGGTCAAATATTCTGTATTTTCAACTTTTATTGAATTCTTTATTTGCGGTCAATATATGAGTTTTTCTTGTGGACGTGTTTATCTTATGATAGGAAACCCTTTTCACAAGCTGTTTGGCATATGAAGCTGATTTATATTAATCAATTGTGATTGGAACAAGAATGTGCCTAAGTACTAAAATCTTGACACTTGATGCATTGAAGTATGAATTTGTTAGAAACAAAGTGACATGCATATTAGGTTCATGAAATAAAGAGATATGTGCATAAAAGCCGTTCAATATGCTTTCTGTGACTGTGAGTTATGTAGCTGATTTATAGTTATTCCAACGTGTATCAATTTGTGACACGAATGACCGTATGCTTAAGTGGAAAAATGTTGACATGTTGATGATTGGTGTTGTCAGAAACTAAGTGATGTTAGGTTCTGAAATTAGAGAAGGGTCTCTCTTATATAAATAGTAATCATAAGAGCTTTGGATGGGGCCCTATTTCTTTTTCTAATTATTTAAGTTGATCATTATGTCATCGCTGCAATACGTGAGTATCCCTTGAGATGTGTTGCTGTCAGAACGCTGGCCAGGGTGTTGATTAAGCCAATCATTTACATTGAACTATGCTCTTTTTATTTCTTTATCTCTCTGCGCTCCTATCACGACATTTCTCATAGCATAATTTGTTGTTGATGAATTTCAGACTACATATTAGCTTTGTTATAAACTGTAATAGTGCGAATACATTAGCATGATGGATTTAAGTTTCCATACCAATTGTAGATGAAAATACTGGCTGTTGTTGTCAGCCTGATCTGAATGTGACAGAGATCTCAATTGTGTTTTTCAAACTAGTTTTAATGTTATAGATTGCAGCAAGAAACTCTAATCAGAGAATTCATTTCCTTAATAGTTCTGAATGAACATGTTGGGTGGAAGCTGCCTTTAATAGTCATAATTAATTTTTTGTTATGAAACAATTGTTTTCAAGTAGTTATGTATTTGTCTTATATGACTGTGTAGGGTTTCTAAGGGTGTGAGAGATATACCTGGCAATTTCCAGTCTGCCACTAGTAATGTTCCTTCTGGGAAAGCCCTCCTATATTTTGGTTTGCTTCTAGCGACTGGGGTCTTCTTTCTTTTCATTGCATTTACCTTGTTCCTTCCTGTGATGGTGGTTGTGCCTCAAAAGTTTGCCATATGCTTTACTCTTGGGTGTGGATTTATCATCGGATCATTCTTTGTTCTCAAAGGTCCAAAGAATCAGCTTGCCCACATGGCATCAAAGGAGGTACCTTGTTTAAATTTTATTTCTTACTGTATAAGTATTGCATATTGATGATATAGCTCTTGACCAGTTATGACATGGGTGCTTCATTGTGTTGTTTGGTCTTGTAAAGGAAGTCTCATTGATTTGATTTTTATCCTGTGGATGCTTTATTTTTTACACGATCTCTCATATCGCCTACATTTCAGAGGCTCCCCTTCACATTGGGTTTTATAGGCAGTATGATTGGTACCATATATGTGTCAATGGTGCTTCACAGCTACATTCTCTCCGTGTTATTCTCTGTCATACAGGTATGTTTCATGTATTCTTAATGTGCTTATTCTTTGTTTCTTTGTTTTTTTTTTGACCTTGCCTTGAGTTTCTTAGATGCACTTTTGAGTTGGGAACTAATTTTCCATGACACGGGGCATTTGGTATTCGTGTCCAACACCTCTCTGCAATACTTTTAAGATTGGATATGTTGGACTGCAAGAATTAATTGGGCATTTGTTTGATGCTTTCTAATGGTGTTTCAATCATACTAGGCATATTTTAGATGTGAAAAATTTGTTTCGGACGTATGTACTTATGTAGGTTTTTGTTGGTCTTTCTTGTGTCCTTAATTATATTATAGATTTAGCCGTGGTGCCTATGTCCCTTTTTCTGTCTGTTTCAACATCCATAGTTCTGGTTACATTTACTGTTAATTTAAAATGTGCAAAGCTTTTGAACCCACCTCCTGGAACTAATTTAATTGGTAAGGTGGGATTAGGTGCATGTAGGGCCTATTGTTCAAACCTCCTGATGTAGGGGGGGGGGAGCCTTTTAGTATAGTTTTATGTTTATCAATGTTACCATTGCTTTTATCTAGTAGAGTGAATAATATGAATTTATGAATGTTCTTTCTGCCTACTTGGTAATGAGAAATATATTACGGGTATGACATTGACAGTCTCATAATGTGGTTTGGGTCAGCGGGGAGTGAAAATCCTTATAAGTAGATGCAGATTTATGCATTTATTTATATATTATTTTCTCTAAAACCATCCAATCTCATTTTGAAATTGATAGGTTCTGGCACTTGGGTACTATGCAATATCTTATTTTCCTGGTGGATCTGCTGGCATGAAATTTTTGACATCTGCTCTCACATCTTCAATAATGAAATGTTTTGGGAGGTGACATATTTTAGCTGATGAGAGGTGAGGTCTGCTCTTTAGTTGATGAGATGTGGTTAGTTGAAGTGTAAATTTGTCTCTCAAGATATGTCATGTTCCTTGAAACTTTGAACTGATATGAGAATATAGCTGATTTGACGCATCATCTAATGTTTCCAAGAGATTTCAGTGTTTGTTGTAGCATCTTGAAGGGATTTATTTTTCGAATACAAGCCTCAAGCTTTCAGTTGCAAAGAATATTGCCTGATCAATGGGCTGACCAAGTGTTCTGCATTACTCTTCATGCCAACTCAAAAGATTTATCCTTCTAATGAGATATTATTTGACGCTCTTTCTTTGATTTCTTGTTTGGTGTTGGCATTTTCTCCTGTTGGTAACGGAAACAAACCATATTGCGGGCGAGACGAAGGGGGATTTATATAAGTTCGATCATTTTGATTTTAGATTGAATTTATCTATAGATCTTGTATATATATAATTGCACTATTTATATCCTAGCTAACTTCAAACTCCGGAAAAAACAGGGGTTTGGTTCAAATTAAAGCAAGAAAATCAGTTTTGTAAAGGGGAGGATTTCTTAAATTGAGTTTTAGTTGGTCTGGGCTGTCTCGTGTGAGTCTGTATATTTATCGAGGGTTTTAATTGGGGATTCATCCGATTGTAAGGGTATTGGGCAAATCAAGTTAATAACATGGTTTGAAAAATAGGAGGAAATATTATTATTAGTCACATGGATTCTTCAATTATTATGAATTACTATTTTCGATTTTTAATATAAGAGTTAGTTAACTAATTTGAGTAAATTAAGAAAATTAGTTAAGGTAGTTATTTGTAATAAATAAGTATTGTCTTTCTTAAAATATCTTTGCTAATCAAGTGTATTAGCTAAAACTATCATTTTTATGAAACTTTTTAATATGTGCAACTATTATAAAAACTGTCTTAAAAAAATTAGATAAATATAAGAGACAAAATAAATTGGGGTCTTATATTTAAGATCAAATTGAATGTTAAATTAGTTTTTATATTAAGATGCAAATGTAGTATAAGTAAAGGAAAACTGCGTAGTGTTAGTTTGATCAAGGGACTTCATATGTCCTGTAAATAAGGATGTAGACCAAACTTCATAGGTAAAAGAGCCACTTCTACTTGAGATCAATAATACGAGTTAGTTGAAAGTCCTAAAAATCAATTAGGACCGTTGGATATCTGGAATTTTTTTGCATGCAAATTTGTTCTTGAAGTTTAAAATTGTAAAAATATTACCTCATACTGTTAAAAAACTAGCATTAATCGTTAACATTTTTAACAGTATGTGATACTATTACTACAGTTTTAAAGTGTTGAGCAAATTTATATCTAAAAATACTTTTGAATGTCTAGCGTTTTCAAGTGAAAATTTTTGGGATCAAATTTATGTCTTAACGTTTCGAGCAAATTTACATCTAAAAAAACTTTCAAATGTCAAGCATTTCTTAGTGAAAATTTTTAGGACAAATTTATGTATTAATCTAAGTGAGAATGGAATGGAATATTGGTCATCATACGTTTGTTCGATATAATATTAAGAATATGTGAAACATTTATTTATTTTTCAATATTAGCTGAGTGCCATGTATGGTGCCGGTGGTGTTGGTGAAGGAGGATAAAGTGTTGAGGAGAGTAAGAGGGTGTGGACAAGAGGGTTGAGGTTGTGTTAACAGGGGAAGACTGAAGAATTACCCCAATAAAATGGTCCTAATATTTGACTTGATTAGATAAATTTTAACATGCATACAATGAATTTGAAGTTTTTAAAATTTTTGCTATTTTGTATGATTTAGTTAATTTATCTTGATTTGGGTGGAATGATATGTGATGTGTAAGGATAAATTCCCCCATGATAGGTCAAAATTATTAGTTTAGAAGTAAGCTAAGAGTAGGAAGTGAAACCAAATTGGGCTTTTAAATGATTTTATCTTCTCAGAAAAATTATGATTCTCTCAAAAAGCACATCTGAGTTCCTTCTTAGTTTAGGTGGAACCAAATCATGATTTTAAAAGTAATCTTATAATGTACCAGGTGAGTATATGAGAAGTGTTTTATTTTGACTTACAAAAAATAACCTTTTTAAGTACTTTTACTTGATGCCAAACACCCATCCTAATCTATCAAAAAGCCTTTTCTTTTCTTTTCTTTTCTTTTCTTTTTTTTTTGCCAGAAGTCTTTTTTCAAGGTTGCTTAGGACCTTTGAATTAATTCAATTTAATATATTTGAACCCACATGTTAATGCCAGAAGATATAATGTAAATTCGTCTTGTCCAATATTGATATTACTTAGGAGGAGTCACTCAAGCACTGTGTTCTTGGCTTAGGTTGGGCTCAAACCTCAGCCTAAAATTTTTGTAAATTTTTTTTAAATCATGTAATAATCAATCGTATCTTAAAAGTGAACACCTTGCAAGTCCTAAATCATTTCTAAATTTCAAAACAATTAATATGCTTCCTTTCAAAATATACTTAATGCATTTGTATTATCAAAGGCAATGCGAGTATTTAAATCACCACCACCGTAAAATTTTCTCGTGTTTTGAATGGTCATCAGTGAAAATTGCAAATAACGTAGTCATAGAATGTTTCAAGAAGCTTATAAATTTTTAAATATAAAATATTTCAATTCAATTACAAAGAAGCATGCCCAGGCATGAAAAGACGCACAAACTCGCCTCAAAGATCTCAAAAACCTCTATAAATTATGTGAGCTCAAACTCCCACCATAATTAGCAGCTACTGTACAAAAACTATAAAGTATAGATATCAACCCCCCCGGGGGGGGGGGGTTTAATTATCCCATTTTTAACCTGAAATTCTCATGATAAAAGGAATTTTCCGCGTGGGGTTGATCTGCTTCTCCTGAGTTCAGGCATGGGTGTATTGCTTCCTTCCCTGAGATTTCTGCTTGAGCCATTTACAAGTTTGTTTTCAACCCTGCTAGCCAATAAGGGTTCCCCTGCTTGCATTGTTCTTCTGCATATAATAAAATATTCCCGACTTATAATAAAATGCATGCGATGAATTCGTCAATTTTAGGAACCAAAAGAAAAAAATTCACTAATTTAAGAAAACTCAAGTGCTTGAGCTTATTAAGTCAAGAGAAAAATTGTTAGTTGAAATATGGCAGGCATACCTGGGTTCAAGGTTCTGAGAGTTTCTCGGGAAATTCTGACGTATCTTTCTAAGGTTTAAAGCACCATGAACTGGCGACTCGATTAGGCCAAAATCATTTTCCGGCTCAGAGTAATCACTCTTTCTAGCTGCCTCCAATGTCTTCTCATCAGCAATGTCCATTTCAGGGATCAATGCGGGGATGAAATCAGACTTCTGAATCCTAAAAGGGAGTTGCTGATGCTGCTGATGTTGATGCTTGACCTTGGCCTTCCCCTCAGCCTTGCTCTTTCTTATACCACCTTGTCTTACTGCAGTAAGTGCTTGTTTAAATTGTTCCTCTTCTTGTTCATGATGAACTTTCCTGGAGGTGACCTTCTGGAGGTTGAATAGAGCTTCAGAAATATTTTCCTGCTTCGTCGTCTCGTGTGAACTTCCATTAATCCTCGAGTTATTGTCAGTGCATGGGGCCATAGGCATGGGGGAAAGAGATTTGTTCACTGGTACTCGGGCTGGAAATGGATGTTTTACTATTGGCTGGTTATCTACCATGTCAATTTTTACCTTGCTTTTAATGACTGAACCTCTGTCAGTGGATATTGATCTCCTGATAGGAGGAGACGGTGATCTTCCTTTAGCTGAGTTTGCTATCTTTTCTTCAGGCAGATGAGGCATTCTTGGGGTGGATTCTTTGTCCATGAATGATGAGGGAAATCTTGACCTTCTTTGCTTTCCCGAGGAACAACTTCTAGCCTGAAAATGAAGTTTCAGATTGAAGCATGAGAGCAAATGCAGAGGAGGATTCATTGAAGCGCAGTTTACAAATATGGTATAAGTGTTATAATATGGCATTTAAGTACCTCATATATTTTATCATCAGTCGGTCGCTGGGAGGTTTCCGACTTCATGCTGGCATTGACTCCTAATTTGGGAAGGCGAAATGGGGAAACTGCCCTTTGTTTCTGAGATTCTACAGTGTTTCGAGCATGCCCAGCTCTCCATTGCTCCAGTTCAGCCTCCTTCCTCTCCAATGCCAACTTGAGGTTTGATACCTAATTAAAAAATGGAAAAACCATTCATCAATGTCTTGCATGCATTGAATCTTAAACTGCATCACAAGTGACCAGGAAATCAACCTCCTCTTTCAGCTCTTTAATTTCACCGGTTTCCTTATGAGACTGTGCAGCACCAAGTTCAATGGATGCCACCCTCTCAGCAAACTTGAGCGTGCTAATTGTCTCCCCAAGAGCATTTTGTTCAGGATTTATATGAACAAACATCAAAGTTTTGGCATGCCCACCTTTTGAAATGAAGTTTGATAAAAACAACAAAAATAGAGCAAAGATTAAGATAATTATATGGAAATTCATGATACAAGTTATAACCCAAAAAAAAGAAAAGCAACTATATTTTCAATTTAAACCACAAAGCATTCAGTGGCCAGATTTATCCCCCAAAAATATGCAAATTTGACTTTTGAAAATGAAATGGAAATCACTCCAATTCTAAATGCTGTTATCACCGATTGTCAAGAGCAATTCGCACTGAAGGGAAATAAAGAGGATGAGGGATGGGATCTTCCATGAGAAGCTTATGTCTATTACCTAAAGAATCTTGTAATACTTGTGTGAGCTTGCTATTTCTGTAAGGAATATGTGGACTTTTTTGTGCCAAAGCAGATATAACATCTCCCAGTGCAGATAGAGATCTATTTATATGTTGCGCTTCCTTCAGTCTTTCTCCCGCAGCCTCAGATTTGTCCACCCTTTCACTTCCAGCCAAATCAACAAGATGGAGACAACCTTTAAGAATGGAATTAGAAACTAGCTCTCTTCCTCGAACATGAATTGTCAAAATACTGCAATAGGGTAGCCAGATTATCTTAGTATATAGCTACAAAACAAA